TGGTAGGTAAGAAGGAGAAGGTATGAAAAAGTAGATCAGGTAAGAGGATCAAAGTGACACAAAATTGAATATAGAAAACCTGAATTTAAGTTTCAGAAATGTTCCCTTAATATATTAGGAAAGACCTTTCTTGTGGCAAAGCAGTGAATATGGAGTGAATATACCTATGCCTATGTCGTTTTGTTCTTCTTTTGAAGTATAGTGTCATCTAGGTTCAGTGTGAATGTTAAACTGGAATGGATTTTTTTTTTTTTTAGGTGGTGAAAACAGTTGGTTTGCGTGAGGTCTGGTTTTTTGGGCTGCAGTATGTAGACAGCAAAGGTTATTCTACATGGCTTAAACTAAATAAAAAGGTAAAATATATGATAAAATTAAGCTAATAATTAAGTTAACTTAAAGTTACCATGAATTTGTGCTGGAAAAGCTAAGAGTCTGACTGATTCCAAGCCTCCTCTTGCAATTATCTGTGTTAATCATTAAGAAGTATCATGTCTTTTAATTCCGTTAGACACCATCAGCTTACTATGTTAGAAACAAGACATGCTCACTTTTCCTATTTGAAAACTTAGCACATAAGAACTATTATCTTAAAGCAAGTATAACAAATGGTGTAACTAAGTACTTTGACCTTGATTTAAACATATGTAGGATATGCTTCTCAAGAATATAAAGAGAAATTTTCAATTTGGTTATTAGATAGAATCTGTAAGTTAGAGGTCACATTCGTGAGCATAGAATCTTTTTTCCTCGCATATATTAATATTTGTTTACAGATTTAAAATATCACACACTAGATTCTTACTTATAGATTTAGAATCTTCTATTTCACTTTCTCCCAAAAAGAATTTGATATGGCTAGGTTCAGTTATTATAAACTTAAGATTTTTGTTGATTTACTTGAAATTATTATTCCAGGTAACACAGCAAGATGTTAAAAAAGAGAATCCTTTACAGTTCAAATTTAGAGCTAAATTCTTTCCTGAAGATGTTTCTGAGGAATTAATTCAAGAAATAACCCAGAGACTTTTCTTCTTGCAAGTTAAAGAAGCCATCTTAAATGATGAGATATATTGCCCACCAGAAACTGCAGTTCTTCTTGCTTCCTATGCTGTCCAAGCCAAGTATGGAGATTATAATAAAGAGATTCATAAACCAGGCTACCTGGCTAATGATAGACTCCTACCCCAGCGGTAAGTGTAACTTACCTTTATGTTATGTTATCTGAAACTTACATTCCACAGGTTTGTAAATAAAAAAAATTTTTTTTGAGATTTAAGTTGCCAGCCGGATCAGAGAGTATACTTTTAAAAATCAGGACCTAGCAGCTGCTTAGACTTATATGCTCTATAATTATCTGAAGTTGATCTACCTCTTCCATCCTCATTCTCATAGAGTAGGCAATAAGTGGAAGCAGTGATAATTTGGGTCTGAGGGAAGGATGTGACTGTTGCTGCTTAGTATAAATTCTAACACAGATAGGTAGGTGCTTAATAAATGCTTTTGAGAATAAGTGGCAGGCTCCGTTTTCTCCATAAATTAAGTTTCTAACTTTAAAAAAAAGTGTTTTTATTTGGTTTTGTTTTTAAGAGACAGGGTCTTGCTCTGTCGCCCAGGCTGGAGTGCAGTGGTGTGATCATAACTCACTGCAGCCTGGAACTCCTGGGCTCAAGCCATCCTCCTGCCTCAGCCTCCTGAGTTGCTGGGAGTACAAGGTGTGCACCACCATGCCTGGCTAAAAAGGCTTTTTCAGACTCCTAGGCCAGTGCTCTACTCTTATCTGCAGTGTATTGCTGCCTCTGTAACAATTATTTTAAAATATGGCATAGGAAAAAATCATTAGGAGACCTAGAATTTGAGTACTAATTCTACCTTTTGCTAGTTATATGACCTTAGGTACATAACCTAAAATTTCTGAGCCTCAGCATCTAAATCTGCAAAATGGGGATAGTAATTCTGCTCTGTCTACCTTCCAGTTTATGATTATAATTCTTGAACTGTATGTTTATAGTTTTAACTGTAAAGCATGATACAAGTATTTATGAAATCTAGAAAATACAATATCAAATATTATCTTTAAATATCTCAGTTCTTAATTTGGGTAGCACACATGTACCTGACGTACTTTAAGATCTTTCTTCTAGAACCTGGAGAGAGGTTGTTACTACTCTTAGTCCAAATTCCTGAAGATTAATATTCCTATTTAAATGCAAAACTATATATTATTATTAACTTAAGAT